TTGCTTGATTGATTGCCTTGCCTTGCCTGTGCCTTGCCACCGGAGTAGATACTTTCGCACCTAGATACCTCTGCATTCCCCTTCGAATAAATGCGCATTTCGATGAAGCATCAACAGCATCGCCAGGCAAAATCACAACAGAAAAAAAGGAAGCAAGTTCTTAGACTTATCGCCGTCGGCATATATTGAACTCTGCGGCTGATAAACAAAAGATACTCCAACTTCGCACAATATTGTATCCAAATGCAGTGCATATTTATGAGAGAATTGTAAATTCAAAACAGTGCAAGGTAGCAGCTGTATAGGATTTCCAGAAACAATAGAATGTTTTGGGTCCATGAGATTACGCAGAAATGCCAAGTCGATTTCAAATTTAAAATTGGAAAACCATTTACTGTAATCGATTTAATAAATCAAAATAGTTTTACTATAGCAGGTAAAGTGTTAGTTGGAGTTGAAAACAAGCTATAAACATATGAGGAGAGGAGAAGAAGTACATTATATAAATTTATAAAGTGACATAATGTCTATTAAACATTTTTGGTCATTAAATTAGTCAGTAATTTAAGCTAATAAACCAAACAGGTTCTTCTTAAATTAAGTTTTTCAGTGAGGCATATAAATTCAATAAATAAATTTAAACTATTAAATCCAATCAAGTCAAGGAAGTTTACCTACTAGGAAATTAAGTTTATATAATATTCATAATAATATTCATAAGAAACAAAGGCAAAGAATCTTAATCTTAATTTATTTTGAGTTATATGAAATCTATATTAAATCAGTAATCATTTGTTTGCCAAGTATGTGTGTTTAAATATGCAAGTAAACCCATATTTATTAACCAAGTTAATGACAGTAGCAGAACTTAAAGCCCCCGGAGAAGTGATTTATGAATAAACATCACTAAAACTTTATTAACCATTGGAATTTATACCAAAATAGTGTTGATTCGTCCTTGGGCAATCGTTGGCTTTTAGTGCATTGATTTACACCAATAACAATTTGCATGCAGCTAAGCTCTGAAAACCATTCATATATCACTCGCTTATGACAGGCATCGAGGGTGTTTGTTGCTTATTAAAAACTCGAAGAAACATTTTCAGAAGGCCCGGCCCAGGTAAAGACTCACCTGAAGCACTTCCGCTGCACTTAGTCAAGCACTTGTTATTGTTGGCCAGAAAAATACGGCGAGAAACTTGGCAACACCGCTCTAAGACTAAGTGAACGTCTGCCAGCCATGTGAGCTGCCTTTTGGCTCTTGGTTAGATTTCGGTTGCTCTATGGATTTTGGCTTTATGTTTTTCGGGCCTAGACACAGGCTGTGCTGTGCTTCGCTGTGCGGTCGCATCAATGACCAAGTCAAGCGTGTATTTTCGTGTGGGCCTCCGACTCTGTCTCCATGGATTTTCCTAGCTGCAATTTGTCTGGTTATATTGTTGTTCTACTCGTGTTTGTCTGCCAACCGCAAAAGACCACAAAAAAAAGAGGGGAGAGAAAAAGCCAGGCCAGCACGTAGTAGAAAACTGATGGCTGAAACTCAAAATGCACAAAAAAGCGGCGTAGATCGCTTGTCTAAGTCCAATCTAAACTAGTCGAGGCGTTTGCGTTTTGCGGTGGCTACCACAGAGTGCATTGACGTGTTGTTTGCATGTGCCTCCAGCTCAGAGAGGCACCACCCCACCACCTCCTTTTTGGCCACTTCAAGCAAGTTTCGTTGTAGTTTTTTATTTTTTTTTTGTCTTAAGCTTTCCGAAGAATCGGCAACTAGCTGAAAGAAACAAGATTTTTTCCGATCTTTTCTGCCTGCAGTTTCGGCGAGTGCAATGCACTTCCCCCAGCGGGTCTCACTCTCCAGCTTCAGAGATACAACTTTGCTTTCGGCTTCAGATACAGCTACACAGATACATACATATATAAATATCTATATATATATAGCTATATAGCTCCAGAGTGAGGAGGATCGGCGACTTGGCGGCAGGTAAGCGCGGCACGTAGGAAGGTAGGTTGTTGTCGTCTCGGGAAACTGGGTCAATCACTGCTGCTGCTGCTGCTGCTGCTGCCTTGCTCCGTGTTTTCTTGCCTGGACTGGCTTTTGGATGACGGCGCCAAATGAGTGTAAGTTGGCAACTATTTTATTGCTTTTTCATTTGCCTATTTTCAAGCAATGTTGCTGCACAAAAATATAGGGATGTTTGATTGAATAGAGGAAATATTACCTCATTCAAGGAAGACATGAGAATAAAGATACACGTACTATAAGATGCAAGAATAAATAAAATAATTATAAATTATGAATTAAGCTATATATAATAATGTCCTCTATTATCTTTTATATCTTTTACAGTTCCTGGCATCATCTTCATCTGACTTGTCCCACATTTTTACCGAACCCCACGTTCTCAGCCAGAGTCTTTAGTCTTGGAACTTCCGCTCTGCTTATAACCTTTCCTTTGACCCGGTTGAGTGATATAACTAACGGTTTTCCGCACTTTAACCGGTCACTCTTAAGTGACAGACGGAAGAACGTGTTACCAGGTTTTGTAGATTTTTTTACCGGCTTTAAGGGGTTCTCGACTCTCCGAGTTCTCAGTTCTCATTCAGAAATGCCGGCCGGCTCCGTCGGCTCTTTGGATTTAAAAACAAAAATAAAATAAAACTGGTTCCCTCTTGCATTTGGCTCTTCTAGCCGTATGTCTGGTGTTTTGTTCTTAGCCGACTGTGTTATTGCCTTTATTTTTTCGTTGTCGCTTTTTTATGTAAAGCTTTGTTTGTGTCACGAGACCGCTAACGTTGTTTAATGTCTTTTAATTCTGATGAATTTGTCACATTGTATACATATATGAGGTCTGCGAGAGTCAGTTAATGGAAAGGTTTGTGCGACTCTGAGATCCGTCGGAGATTATCATATCGCCGAGCGTATGGCACGTTGATTTTTATGTGGAAAAATTACGGTTAAAGGGGTTGGCATTATTGTTTTTTTTTTTTTTTTTTTTTTTTTTAGAAAATTATACTACCCACTTATGATCACAATGAAGTTTATTTTGACAAATTTATTGCTTTTGCAGAGTAATAATACATTTATTTAGTTTAATGGAGACCAATTTTGTTGGTTGTTTAAACAAAAACTAAAGAACAAATATTGCCAACTAAAGGTGTGAATTGAATAATTGTTATGATAGTCGAATTCAAATTATACGGATAATAACTATAAAAATTTATCGTTATTTTTGTAGGATATTTTTTTCAACAAATCAAAGTTTAAAAAAACTCATAACTAAGCCAAAAAATCATTAAATGTTATTCGGAAAGCTTTTTTGTGCTAGTTTTAATTAGGTTAATAAATCTGCATAATCAATTTAAAATTTTACAATATTAAAATTTTTGTAAATTTTTTTACAATTTTTGAAAAAATCGAAAAAATGTCAATATTTTTATTTTCAACCGGACATAGCTAGATAGATTCAGCTGTTCATGCTGATCAATAATATATATGATTAATAGGGTCGGAAATGACTCCTTTACTAAAGAAATCGGGGAGACTGATTATCCGGGATAAAAGAAGCTTGGAGTATTTTTAAAATTTTAAAACCAATACCGGTTTTTAAGTTAGATAAATGTAGCAACACTGGTCATTTTCTTTCCCTTTTAAAAAAGCTTTTTACATACTTTACTCGACATTTGTGTTGGAAAATATTTTGTCATTATACATCAACTATACTTTTTCTGATTGTGGTTTTAATATTGGATGAAAAATGATGTAAAGTGTATGTAAAAATTGCTTTAAAATGATGTTATTATTTTTTTAAAGCTAGTTTTTGTAGAATATCACATTGATTTTTTTTAAGAAGTTAATTTTGTCTAATTCCTTAAAAATAAAGTTACATATTTGGAAAAAGTTCAATTTTTTTACTATAAGCTTTTAAAGACCGTATAAAATTAGTAATAAGTAGTAACTTATAGCTTCAGCAGAATTATACAAACCATTTTTCTGTTCCAATGTGAAAAAAGATATTTTTCTTCACCTAAAAATTAGCCATCCCCCCAACAAAACAATCACTTTATAATTTTAAACAAATTCCATTTATTATTTCTCAAATATATGTTGCCGTTATTAGTAATTTATTTGGGTAAAAATGTATTGTTTTTTTTATATTTTTTATTTATATAAAACTACAAGAGAAAGTTCTGCACACGAATACAAAATTAATAAGTTGTGCCCTAAGATTATGTAAATACAATTGCGGATGATTTTTGAATTGCTTTTATTAGAGGATCTCGTGAGAGTTGTCGATTATCTTTGGATAAGCTCATATCGTACCATGTCGTATATATCATATATATCTCTCTATATTAATATATATATTTATTGCCAAACTGTCTTCGTCAGTCTTGAGTGCAAACTTCCTTGGACATTCGTTTTTATTTGAAATACTAGATACTTGTGGTGCTTGCTGACGTTTTGCCATATAAATAATTGTATAAAAATGTTTTGTCAGATACAATAAAGGTGAACTAAATTAGTGAAAAGCAGTGGAAAGTAGTGTGTGAAAATGGTGTGAAAATGGTGAAAGAATGGGTGAAAATGGCTGCGAGAAATGCGATAGACGTGCCTCCGTGTAAAGTGTTGTAGCGTAGATGAGGAGGGTGACAAGAACCGAAAAATAGACGAAAAGATGATGGAGATGATGAAGATGCTGTGGGGAGATGGGAGATGCGAAATGATAGATGAGATGGGAGATGAGCTGGTAGGGAGATAGAGCAGGGTCATAGGCTTGGGGCTGGGGCTGGGCTACCGGAAGCTGGAACTTTGGAACATTTCCGTTTGACGTTCTAACTACGCTTGACCTTCCTGTCTCTCTCTCTCTGTCTCTGTCCGTGTGCTGAGTGTGTGTCAGTAGTGGTGTGTGCGGTGTGTGTGTGTAGTGTGTGGACGGTGGCTCAGAGGATGCTGCAGTGCTTGGCCGACAGCTGCTGCCGCATGCCGCGCAGAAACTGGCGCTCACCTCTGAGCCCCGATCCTGGTCCCTCACGCACGCTCCTCATTCCTCTGGCCACACCATTAAATACAATCGCCCTCGACCTCCTCCTGATTGACATCCGGATCGAACTCGTCGTCGGCGGTGGCCTCCTGATACTGCTGGTACTCGGACACCAGGTCATTCATGTTGCTCTCCGCCTCGGTGAACTCCATCTCGTCCATGCCCTCGCCGGTGTACCAATGCAAGAAGGCCTTGCGCCGGAACATGGCCGAGAATTGTTCGGAGATGCGCTTGAACAGCTCCTGGATGGCGGTGGTGTTCCCAATGAAAGTCGATGACATCTTCAAGCCCTTTGGCGGGATGTCACACACGGCCGTCTTTACATTGTTCGGTATCCATTCGACGAAGTACGAGCTGTTCTTGTTCTGCACCGCCAGCATCTGCTCATCGACCTCCTTCATGGACATGCGTCCACGGAAGACGGCGGCCACCGTTAGGTAACGTCCATGACGCGGATCACACGCCGCCATCATGTTCTTGGCATCGAACATCTGTTGGGTCAGTTCCGGAACGGTGAGAGCCCGATATTGCTGGGATCCACGCGAGGTGAGGGGTGCGAATCCAGGCATAAAGAAGTGCAGACGCGGGAATGGAACCATGTTGACCGCCAGCTTGCGGAGATCGGCATTCAGCTGGCCAGGGAAGCGCAGACAGGTGGTCACCCCGGACATGGTCAGCGAGACGAGATGGTTCAGATCCCCATAGCTGGGATTGGACACCTTGAGGGTCCTGAAGCAGATGTCATACAACGCCTCGTTATCGATGCAGTACGTCTCGTCTGTGTTCTCCACCAGCTGGTGGATCGACAGGGTGGCATTGTAGGGCTCCACCACCGTGTCCGATACCTTGGGCGAGGGCACCACCGAATACGTGTTCATAATACGGTCCGGATACTCCTCACGGATCTTGGAGATCAGCAATGTGCCCATGCCAGAGCCAGTTCCGCCGCCCAGCGAGTGCGTCAGTTGGAAGCCCTATAAGGAGAAGGAGGAGATTATGTTAAAATCAGGATTAGGAGGAGGTTTGAAGGTAGGTGAACCCACCTGCAGGCAGTCACAGTTCTCGCACTCCTTGCGCACCACATCCAGGACATTGTCCACCAGCTCAGCGCCTTCGGTATAGTGACCCTTGGCCCAGTTATTGCCGGCTCCCGACTGGCCAAACACAAAGTTATCCGGACGGAAGAGCTGACCATAGGGCCCAGAACGCACCGACTCCATGGTGCCCGGCTCCAGGTCAAGGAGGATGGCCCTGGGCACATACTTGCCACCCGAAGATCTTGTAACTGCTGATAGAGGTTTGGATGAGCCAAATTGTGCGGAATTTATGATATGGCAAAGTGTTACCAGATGCCTCGTTGTAGTAGACACTGACGCGCTCCAGCTGCAGATCGCTGTCGCCCACATAGATGCCATTGCTGTCGATGCCATGCTCCTCCGAAATGATTTCCCAGAACTGAAGAAGAGAAGAGGGTTAATACATGTATGTAGGAATTTAATTAGGTTTTTTAAAGGATTTTTAGAACTTCTCTGAGACTTATATTTAAAGAAGTAATTAAGGAACTGAATGACCATGGAAAATAACTTTATTATATTTTATGTATACTTGTATCTTTTATTAAGATACTAGCTGACCCGGCAGACTTCGTACTGCCTCATCCTGAAATACTGGCTATTTATAAGGTTTAAATTTGATATTCACAGACACACACTGTTAAAATACAGTCTGTTAATTAATTTAAAGCTTTCTCATAAACTATATTTTTTGTTTTGTTTTGTGGTGCGTAAATAAACAAAGAAGACGGTTTTCCGACGCGCGAACACGCGACGTATAATTGTCCATGCGCGAAACAGGGAAACTCCAAGTTGATTCCACAAACTTCTAACGACTGTCCTTGCGATTTATTTATGGTCATCGCAAAGGCCAGACGCACTGGAAATTGTAACCGTTTAAAATCGAATGGTAAGTCCGTTGGAATCATCGGTATCCGCGGGATCAAGACATCCTCTCCTTTGTATTTTCCTTTTATGATTGTCGCCTCAATGACGTTATTCATCAGTCTTTTCACAGCCAGTCTTGTTCCATTGCATAGTCGAGGTTGATTAATGTTACGCAGCATGATGACAACTGATCCCACTTTTAACTGCAAATTGTGAGGTGGTAATCCAGGCAATTCCAGTGAATTTAAAAACTCAGTGGGATAGTTGACTACGTCATCCTGGTTCATTACGGTGTCGACTGATTTGAAGGAAACCAACTGTCCTGGAAGAAAATTCTGAATGGTCGCATTAAGATCCTCGACATCTTTATTTTTCGCTGCTAATATTGCTCGTTCACCCAGCCAATTATGGTTATTGAACTTTTGCGCTATATCTGGGAAAACTCGCTGAATAAGTTCCACTTTTGAGTCTGTGATGTGACAGAAATCTGTAGGTAATGTGATGAATCCGGTCGAGGTGTCCACTGCAACTTTATTATTTCCAATGTCTAACAACTGCTTCGCAAACACATATGCAGTTTCATCTTGTTGCAAAAATACTCGCATGTTAGTTGTTAAGTGGAGTGTCTTTACGTACTGCCACAAATTTGATGATTTTAGGCATGCATTTAGTTCAACAGCAACAGTTGATCGGGGAATAACTGGAAGAGTCTGACGAAAATCACCTGACAACAGAATCATGGCCCCACCAAAAATATTTTGGTTGTCACGAAGATCTTTCAACGTTCGGTCCAGTGCCTCCAGTGACCTCTTATGGGCCATTGTGCATTCATCCCAAACAATCAATTTGCATACCTGTAGGATCTTGGCCATTGCGCTATTTTTGGCGATGTTGCAAATTGGTGTTTCTGTGATTTGCATGTTTAGTGGTAATTTCAAGGCAGAATGTGCAGTCCGCCCGCCTTCTAGCAGAGTTGCAGCTATTCCAGATGAAGCCAACGCTAGAGCAACATCATTTCGCGATCTGATCCTCGCCAAAAGCAATGAAATTAAAAACGTTTTTCCGGTTCCTCCGGGAGCATCAAGGAAATAAATTCCACCAGATCCACTGTTCACAGCTTCTATCAAAGTGTCGTACGCAAATACAAAAGTAATCCCGCCCATGACTGCAGAGGAGTTCCTTAGATCCTGTAAGGTTCTGTTCACGGCCCGTCCCGGCTTCGCACGGGCATTAAACATTACATTTAGATTTGTCAATTTTAACACATTCATAATAATAATAATAATATGACACAAATTCATCCTTTATTATTATTTTATTTTTTCAATTATTGAGGTCATAACCCTAAAAGAAAATACATTTATTTTGTTAGAGCTTCTCTGTAAACAATATTTGATGTTGTTTTATTTTGTGGCAGCAAAATAAATTGATTTTCAGGGGCTCCGACTCGCGATAGACCAACATACAGTTGACCATGAGTAAAACATTTATTTCGCAGATCGATCCCTACTAATTCGAAGGTTTGGCCTTGGGACTTGTTAATTATTAATGCGAAAGATGTTTTTACCGGAAATTGAAGCCGTTTAAATGGGATTGACAGATGAGTTGGGATCATCGGTATCCTCGGTATATGAGCTAGTTGACCACTTGCTGGGCCAGTGATAATAGTTGCTACAATTAAATTGTCCTTTAACTCCTTAATAAGCAGCCTCCTCCCATTACACATGCTTGGAGGGTTTAAATTTCTTAAAAGCATGATTGGGATTCCGATTTTTAACGTCAATTCATGGGGTGGCAGTCCAGAAGGGTTCAACGAATTTAAAAATTCCTGTGGATAATGGACTGCATCTTCAATATTCGTTACAGTGTCGATCGATTTGTATGTTTTTGTTTGGCCGGGGACTTTTTGAACAATCAGATTATTTATTTCATTGACAGTATCATTCTTAGGTGATACTATAGCCCGAGAACACAGCCAATGGACGTCTCTTTCGTGCAAATTCTCGATATCAGGGTATACAGAATCTATTAAATTTCTTCTTTCAATATGTTTTGAATGTTTGACAGGAAATGCTTTGATTCAGCTGTCTGCCTGTACATTTTATTTAGAAAACGTTTGTATGGGAAATAGAAAAATACTGTTTTGAGGATTTTCCCGGCAATTAATTGAATTTTTCTCACCTTTTAAACCTTCCCTAGACCTCCACGAATAATTCAAGACCAAGATAAGATAAATCCGTTCAGCCATTCTCGAGTTTTAGCGAGACTAACGAACAGCTGTATATTTTTATATATATAGAAGATGTGTCAAGAATTAGGAAGATATATTTTATCTTATCTTATGGTAACTTCTTTATCTATCATCAAATCTCTTTCACTTAGAGTGAAAATTAGAACAGGCGGCATGGACACGTTTTAAATTAAAACCTCTAATTAGTATGTCTCTAATTAAAGACTATATATGTATGTATATACATAAGAACCATTGGGAATATCTCAAAAAGTCAAATGTTTCCATTGGTGTTTTTCTTTTCATTCTACTCTCTTCAAATATTTGCGATAAACAGTTGCATCCCGCATCTTGGCAAGCTCCTATCTGACCTCCTCTCAAGCGGAGATCATTCATCCTTATCATTTCAGCCAAGAGGGCGATATCTTTATAGCCCGATGCCGACATCTATCCGTCATGCACTTGGCCAGCTTCCGGATTCTTTAACTATATATATATAGCTGGGGTCGGGGTCGTTTATCAAATTGAATAAATGTGCCCGCCCAGCCATGTCACAGTTCATGTTGAGCCTTGACATATGGCCGCAGTTCCAGCCACGGAAAACGCCTCAAAAAAATACAAAAAATGTACAAGAAAAAACCAAAAATAATAAACTGCGAGAACAAACGAGAACAATTCTAACAATTTCAGAATTTCTGTTTCTGCCTCCTCCGATGTGACAATGTGACAAACAACAAGGCGCAGCCGCAGCCCATAAACTCTGAGGTTTTTGGAAAAATATACAGAGGAATATACACATATATGCTGGGGTATAAATGGGATGCCCATATAGGGGGATTGCGGCATCAAAAGTGAGACAGATTGCCACGAAACAAAAAAAAAAAAAGAAAAGATATTTAGGAACAAAAAGGGAAAAAGTAAATTTATGTTTAGTTTTTCGAACGTCAGTTTTGGACGCCGGCGAACATGCCCTGATTTAGTGCTAAATTTAAAAGATGCGTCCGGGCCAGTAAAAAATAGTTGCCCTGCCCTGCCCTCTCCCCTCACTCTCACTTTGTATGGGACAGAAAATTTCCACCGCCACGCTCCTGGGGTGCTGCAGGGAAATGCACTTTAAAAATAGACGAGCCCGTGGGACGGCATCGCCAGAGATACCATATAGATATATATGTAGATGTAGACTATATAGAGTGACTGCTGTGACTCATACCGGACTGGGGATGGGGGTTTGGCTTTCGGTTCCAAGGAGTGATCCGAAAGTTCTGCAGGCCAACGACCCAGCAGACGACAAGATCATTAGAGGGGCCATGCCAACCCATTCCTATCCCATTCCCGATTGAAATGCGATAAATTAAGTACAAGTATCTCATGGATACACAGAAGCAACAATCGAAGCGGATTTATTGAGGAAGCGCTCTGCAATTGCCGTGCTGCGTTTAACAAAGAGCCAAATTCGGCTGCCGTTAGTTGCTCATTAGCCACTCGAATTGGGATTGGTAGGGAGGAGGAGGAGGAGACCTACTATTTTTGGGGCTGGGTTTGGGATCTTCAATAGAGTTTCCATCGAAGCGAAACGATGCTACTTCTAGCTACCACTTCTGCCTTGGCAACAGTCTGGCTGGCTCTGGCTGTCAAGAGGGGAAATAATAAAAATGTTAGCGATTCCCCAGCCGAGCAGACACATTCCTCTTGTCGCTGCTCCAATGTCTGAGTTGTTTCCCTTTGGCACTTGAACTTGACGTGTGCGACTATAAACAAAAAGAAGAGGGGCTGGGGCTCCGTTTTGGAGCGTGATCTTTTTGAGGGGAAATGTACTGCATTTCTTTGTTTATTTAAAAAGTAAAGAAAAGAGTAGAAGAAGAAACTGAATCAACAGGAATGAATCTCAGGCAACTGCAATCTTAGCAAGATCATCAAATTTAATTGGAGTGTGGCCGCTGCAATTATGAAGCTAACCATGGCAGCGGCTACAACAATGAAGCTCAGTCTAAAAGGCCTTACAAACAAACAAAAGCCACACCGCAGCAGCAGCAACTACTACTAATACTACAATATAAAAAAAAATATGAAAACTAAATTAGCACACAAAACTGTTGAAGTGAAAAGTCGTTTTTCACTCGGTCCCCTTCCCTACCCCTCCATATTTCCACCTCTACCAGTGCTCGCACGACTATCGCTGATCGCTTTACTTTTCCATTCAACTAATTTTTCATTTCGGATTTTCCGTTTTGATGATAATGGTTTAGTGTCGGAAAATTTTTTTTTTTGGTGAATGGGAGTTGCAGCAGCAGCAGCGGATGGGGATTGTGTGTGATTGTGGCCTCACAGTTAGATTGTAATTATAGATGGATGGCTTTTTTTGGCAGGATTTATTTCGAAGAAACAAGATCTGACCCAAGAAATCAATTTGGTAAGGTAAAATTGGGCCTTGATTGGTAAAATCAAATTAATTTAAGTGTGTTTTTAGGCTTCGAGATAAGTCGAGAGAATTCTTATGAGGAAAAGGCTCTAGTTTCATTATTAAAGCTATCTTTCTTAGAGTTAAATAGAAAATACTGAAGTGTACATATTCCATCATATGAAATATACTGTATATAAAGAAACCAATCTTACAGATTACAAAGCACTTTCTTCTTGGTTTCTTTTCATATAATTTCACGGCTCTTCTCTCTTTTTGTACATCAAACTCTCTTCCAATTAGAGGCAACATCTGTTCTAACAATTTCCCTGCCCCTTGAGTACCAAGTCTTTCCTAGTCTTACCCCGTGTAATTAATTTCAAAAGCTCTGCCCCTGGTTGCCTGGCAATGGAATGACCCCCCTTTTTAGTTGTGGTCCGTTCGCTGGGACGCCCCTGGCATGCGATCATCTGGCGACTGGCAATCGAGACGCCCTCATTAAGTGTTGCATGTCTGGGAGTAGCCAAGAAGACTCCTCCACGGCTGCACTCTCGAGTCTCGCAGAGGAAGTCACTCGGGCGTGAACTTGGATGGAGCTGGAGCCGGGCCAGTCTTTCTTTGGCTGGGTTTCTTTGCTCGCCGGAGCAGGATTGCTATTGCAGGCTATGCAAAAAGAGACAGAGAGTGGCATTTTCACAAGATATAAAACATTTGGCATCAAAAGAAAATTCTTTTAATTCAAAGCAAGGAGTGGGAGTGCTGGGAGTTCACCCCCGGCCATTAACCGGCTGCTGTGGGGTGTCAAAAAAGAGGCGATAAGACAAGACCGACCGGGTTTATTGACTCCCTCAATTCCTCTCAGTTGCATGGCCTCTCGAATTCTTTATAATAATCTGGGATACTTAATATGCATTAATCGTCGTGGCGCATGCCTGAAACGGAAACAGAGAATCGCATATGGAATGTCAGAATGCCAGAGTGCCAGAGTCGCCACCCCGATATCCTGTAACTGTATACTATAGTATATAGTAAGCAGGGAGCCTTCTTGGCCGGTGAATCACTTCCTTTTGGCTCCTGCACTTGTGCGGTTTTATTATTTACGTATTCCGGTGTGGACATTCTTGTCTTAAATGTCCACTCAGCTGTTCCTACCGTTCTTTAGTTTATTCTGTATTCTCTACTTCTCACATTACGTTGCTCAAATTACCAAGACAAACTTCCCATCGTGCGTTTATATATACAAAAACGCTTATTTACCGACGAGAGCTGCTCCATAAAACCATTACTATTGCCCAAATTCCGGGAACCACAAAAAAAGCAACTAAGAAGACGAGGCGAGTTTACTTTTAAATTGAAGCTGCCGAGTTGCTCACTCTGCCGCAAATTGACTCATATCAAATGATTAAGATTCGTGGGCTTATCTTTTGTTAACGTATGAACGTATGTACCCATATTTGCCCCGTGATTTGTTTACTATTTTATCAGCATTTCGCTGGATGGCTCAGCGAATGTGACCCACTTTGCAGGGGGTGACGATGATTGAACATTGACATTGATGCCACTGAAAAATGCACTCAGCGGGGACCCACTTGTCCAAGTCTCGATCCAAAAACTGGTATTGCCAAAAAGCCAAGAAAAATAAAAACACAAAAAGAGTCTGTGGCAAGCCGGTTAACAGCCTGCCTCCTTTTTTCCTTAACCAAAAATTAAACAAAAAAGAATTCAACTGCACTTGGCATACTGTACGGTTTCGGTTTCGGTTTTTCGGGGCTTTGCTGATTGAGTGGACTATCCTATATATGCGATAATTGAGAATCAGAACTTAATTGCTCTGATTCGTTTGCATTTCTCAAGTTTCCGTTTCTCATTCACTTAATGCTGTATTTACTGATCAGTCATTGCACACTCTACTTGCAATTCGAGTGATTATATAAGTAGGGACTAGAACAGCTGCGGAGAGATTGCACCAGGCACAGAGTATTTGGTTTTATAAATATAAAAGTCTTTAATATGTAGTTTTTATTTACTTTTTTACATGCTTTTTCTAAGAAATGTGGTTCATTGACGATAAGATATCGAATGCAGTTTTTGTTTATTTTTATTGGCCCATTACTAATTGTTTCTATTTCAATTAAGAGAATTTCTTAGCTTTGCCTTTCCTCTTTATTTACTGCAAAACAGCTGCTATAATTTAATCAATTCTTGGAATAACCATGAAATAAAGGAATACTTATAATAAATATTTATATTTTTGAGTCAGTGATTTTCTTTTTAGCTTTTCTATAAATAAATTACTGACTTTCCACGAACCGTTTCTTTGCTAATCATACTTTAATAATCATTTTTGCCCAGTACTTTTCGAATGAATAACTACTTATTTTTATTGCAGTTTATTATACTTTTTTCTTGTTGTTTTTTGTGGCTTTCTTTGGTGGTGCAGGAAACTCAAGCAAAGCGAAAAGATTTCCCCGCTAAGATTATGCGAAAGATTTCCCTTCTTCTTCAGGCAAAGTGCAAGGCAGAAATCTTAAGGTTTTCTTGCTGTTTTTAAGGAGAATAATTCTTAAATTTCTCCCATGGGAGGGTCCCCAATGAATCACTGTTTTTGTGATTTCCAGAGGGCCCAACCCGTTTTTTTTTTTTTTGGAAAGGGCATATCGAGTGCCAGACAAAGTTAAAATAAATTTCTTTCCTTGTCCATTTTTTTGCACTTTGCATTTTATTTAAAGTTTATTTTTTACGACTGCGTTTTTGTTGTTGTTAATTTTCTTTTGCTTTAATTGCTGAATGCGCTGAAAAAGGCGGCGACATCGAACCGAGAGACTCGGCCGATCATTTTGGAAACTCATTGAAAAACGTTTTCGGTCAAAGTGAATAAATTAAGTGGCAGCAAAAAACCAAAAGACAAAAAAAATAAATCAAGCTAAAAAATAAAGTAGTAATGAGACCTACCTTAGCGCCGATCTGATTGCCACACTGGCCGGCCTGCAGATGGACAATTTCTCTCATTTTGGGTTTGCTGATTTGTTCCTGGAAGCTGAAGAGACTAGAGAGCTGGGCGCTGTATCCGCTGCTGAAGCTGAAGCTGTATCTAAATTTGAATCTGAATCTGAACCTGGTGCTGACTCTGGATCTGTATCTGAATCTGGAGAGGATGCACCGCACAGTTCGAGTATCTTTTGGCTGGATTTTCAGAACGAAGGCGCAACTTCACCGCACAACGCACAAGACTCAACTGATCGCCGGACCTCGACTCGAAGCCGAATCTCTGTTCTGGCGAGGCACAGGCGGCGACGGTGACTTCGACTTCCATTGTGTGTGCCTGCCGGCGCCGGCGGCCAAAGCGAGACGGAAGATCGCACACTCACACACACATACTAGCAGAGTGGGAAACACACACAGATACTCTCTCGCACAGTGGGCCGTTTCGCTGAGTTCTTTACAGCGATACTTTCCACATGGCACTTGGGTTATTCTAGAAGGAAAAGTAAAGTGAAGCCTGTGGCAAAACGAACTGTTTTTGGTTTGAATTTTTGCTGAGACTAATAATAAAACAATGAGACTATTAATAAAGAATCTAAGAACTGCAGAGTTTACTTTAAAGATTTAATAATTTAAATTTGAGAAGGCTTTCTTTGAAAAACAACTTTCTTTTTGAGTTATTTATATTAATATGTTTAATCTGATTCTATAACCTACAAGATAAACATTATATTTTCATTTTTGTGTTATTAGGTTCAAGATTAAATATATGTTTGTTATTGAAAGGTTGAAAGCATTTATTCCCTTTTAGTTTTAATGACTAAGCTCTCCCATCATAAAAGTCAGTCTGTATGATTGGTCTATAAATATATTTCCCGTCGAGGGGATTGACTTGGGGTGAGTTCAAATATTTTTTGGTAATTGGAAAGTTTATACATCAATCGGCGGAAGTTAATAAAAAGTTTTTCCTTCAAGTTATTGGGGTTAAGTCACGGTATAACTGCCAGTTAATACCTAAGTCACTGGCAAGTGCAAATTGGCAGAGCCTTTTCGATTTTATTCTTAATTCCGATTTGGTTTATGTACTGCTGCCAGGCACACAGACACATTTAGTTAGGTATATAAATTTATATATATACTTACATACATATGTATATATAGGGATGGCTGGCACCCCGCCGACGTTTTCCTGTTCCTAAGTTCACACATTTTTACGCTGTCAACTGCAGCGACTTTCACTTTCTAATTTTATCCGGCAGAATGCACAGGTATGCAACTCCCCGACCCGAGTTTTCCGTGTATCCATATATGTGCACTCGGAAAATGGGAAAATCTCTTAATGCTAAAGAATTTATTAAATGAAAATAGGTAGATTTAAACGTTTTGAAAAAGGTATCTTAAATAGATACATTAAAATAATAAAGCTACATTAAAAACAATTAATTAATAAAGCTTTATGTACCATAGATTCGTATCTTTGAACAATATATTCTCTGTGATATTTCTTAGTTTATAAAAAAAAGTAAGTGATTATTAAATCATCCCCATTTTTCATTGTGCATCTGGGAAATCGTATATGAATCTATGCCGTGGTGTGAGTATGCACTTCCACAAAAGTGTCACCGCAGTCATTAGAAATGTTTCGTCTTCTTACATGTGTTTTTCCTTTCATTTTGGGACTGCACTCCTAAGGCACTGGGGGAAAAAATAGGTGGTATTTATAGAGCGACTGCCTCGGCGACATCGACTCGCTCGGCTGCTGCTGTTTTGCCACTCCGAAGTTCGGGATCTGCGGCGTCAATTTCCCCATTTCCTTGGAAATCAATCAATGCCCCTGGCAAGACAATTTGTAGTCGTTTTACTTTCTAATTGCATTCAAGTTGAAAGAGCAAGAGCAGGCCTAAGTGGCGAGGAAGCCAGAAGGAAAAGCAGAAGGGGACATGGATTTTTGGTTTGGAAAGGCTGCTCAAGTGCCTCTGTCAGGCCTATTTTCATCTCTGGCAGTCAAACCGCAAAATTCACTTTAATTTTAACGACGGCAGGCAGCAACACAAGCACTAAGAATCGAATCGTTTGCTCCAACTTCTATGTATATTTCCCAATCTATCCATCTGACTATCTGCCCTTCCGCATCTTCTGTTCCTGTGGTTCTATACCCTTGCGTAGTATTATAATTTTAGTCAGAAGATTGTAAAGCAGTGATGGAGTCATTTCCGATCCAAAAAGTATAAAATTTTATCTCTTAATGTTTATTTATATGTCCATGAAAAAAACTTAAAGTTACATTTGTATAGTCTCTTAAAAATAATTCTGTTTGGCTATTTAGTAGTTTATTCTTACATTTTAAATACTAATTACACCAGTGCGTATACGAAATATTTTGTGACTGTGCTGAAACTAAATTAAAGTCATTATACCCCCTGCAGCTTGCAATTGAATTATAAAATTGAATAGGTAATCCATCAAAAGCAAGCTTTAAATACATATTTGTATTCTTTGAATCAAAAGTGATCGATATTTTTATATGACTATTTTTTCGACATGTAAATTAAAAACAAATCATAATTAAGCCAAAAAAGTCCTAATTTTAATTTGAAAAGGTTTCCTATGTTAGTTTTTATATTATTAATAAATCTGCATACTCAATTTTAAATTTAAGAAATATCAAATGTAACCCCTTGTAACATTTTGAAATTTCAAAAGATTTTAGAAAATTTCTTTTTTTGACCAGACATGACTAGATTGATAGATTCGGCTATTGATGCTGAGAATATATATGATTTATAGGGTCGGAAATGACTCCTTCACAGCATAAAAAGCTTCTGACTAAAATTATATTACCCTTTATATAGTATAAACAGTCGTTGCATTAGATAGTTTTGACATCATCTCGGAGGCCATCTGGCGGCCAAACAGTGAACTTTGTCCCATTGTCAACTAAGCGCCAAATGCACCACAAAATAATCTCGAATTTACGAGCTCGAATGGACAGAATGTTTTACATTCATTCGCAACAAGAGAACTACAATCTAAACGCTCAATGAGGCTGTGGCGACAACCGAATAGGATAATGGCGAGGGACAGGGAAAGGATGGCAAAAGACATTGGATCGGGAAGGGAACACTTGTCCAGGTCTCCAGGACCAAAGTACAACAAAAACGAATATTACTAACATTTTTGGTTGACCAAATGGAAACGGGAGTGTGCTGAGTTGCTCAAAAAAAGGCGTACAATGGAGAGGGTTTGATTTTAAAATGTAAATAGAGTTTAGTAGGGATGCCAATGAAACATTTAAAATAAAAAATGTTTTTAATTATATATTTTAATTGAATTTCAATTCAAGTTTTTCTTTATTCTACAAAAAGAAAGGAAGCTAAATTCCTAAACCTGAAGTTTCCATACCTTTGCCTTGAAAATCGATCATAACGAAGTCAAAAAATCATTAACTTCAGTACGGAAAGCTTTCACACATTACTTTAAATTATGTTTAAAAATCGGCATTCATTTTACATTTAAAACAATTAAGAATTTTAACAATTTGGACCCCTTTTTAAAATAATGGCTGGAATTATTTTTGCCTTAGATGCCTTGGTCGACTTGGGTTTTGATGCTGATCAAGAATATATATGATTTATAGCGTCGGCAATGACTCGTTTACCTGATTTTCATGCTTTTAACTAAAATTATAATACCTAGCAAGAATATATAGAAATAATAGGATTAGCCTATCTTCCAGGAAGGTATTTTAAACTTTTGGTACAATAACACGAATATTAAGCAATTCTGTGAAAGGGTTTCATGTCCCCCCTCTCTACTGTATCAATGGGTAAGGACTACGCTTATGGCAAAACACAACACACATCCCTGTATTTTCAGAAAGCCCACCAATACCAATGGGTTGCATTATGTTGTGCGAGATGTGTGTGTGTGTGGTCACCCCCGTGCATTGGGCCAAAACCCTCCGCAACCCCCCACTCTGGACCCTCAGAAAAAGTAACAAATGTTTTTTTAGGATTTGTGTTTTGGGAATTTTTGCACTTGTGTAAATGTAAGCTTTGCCACACGCACAAAAAACATCCACACGAACGCATACATCCGTACGTCGTCCGGCATTTAGGCAAATATAAATGTATAAAACAAAATTGTAGCCAGCATTTGTCTTTTTTCCGTATTTGCGCATTACCATAGTTAAATTTATTCGCATCTACATATGCATATATATAGTAGTATGGCATAGGATGCGTGTGCAACAGTGTAAATGTTATTATCGTGTTTACATAGCCGCCTATGGGCAGGCAATTAGGTTTGATTGATTTGCCAGCGAGGCTTTTAATTTATTTTCCAACTCTTCATCTCTTAATTACAATTTGTAATTGGCATTTTAAATTCTGCCACTGACAATCCGCCCTTTTTGTTCTATTTTAATTTGTATATGAAATTATTTTTCTATAATTGCATTTTGGTTTCCATGCTGTTTCCCTTGTTATTTTTTTCCATTCTTTCTTTTAGCTCTTTGGGCATTTTGTTGGCTCCTTTTTGTGTCCCTGGGCTGCATTTTAATTGAACTTGATTGATTTTTGCTGATGTTGATGATGGAAAAATAATATTGTTGTAAAATCATAACAATTTGGAGTGCGATGGGGCTGACGGAAGGCCGGCAGCCACAGCATTTATCTGTGGACACAAGCCTCGGGAGCTCACAAAAATCGAACAAAGCATAAACACCTGTGCGGCTTATATCAACCCCATCCTTACTGTCCCTGTGTATATCCTTTTTTTTTACTACATAGAGATGTATTTGGAATATAGCTGGAAGGGTTTAGCAACAAAAATACTACATTTTATATGATAAAAATTTTTAATATAATAAGTACAACTTCATTAGTACTTATCTAAAATCTCTAGAAAAACTGTCTAAAAAATATATCATTCCTTTAGACACTTTTCCAATAAATGTATTTTTATAATATGAATAATAAAAATACATTTAATATTTGCTATTTACGGTTTATATATTTAAGCAAAACTCCCACG